AAATTTTTCGAAAATTCTCTTTTTTATAGAAATTTTTTCTAAAAACCTCTTTTTTTTATAGAAAATTCTCTGTTTTATAGAAATTTTTGAAAAAATCTCTGTTTTATAGAAAATTTTGAAAAAATTCTCTGTTTTATAGAATATTTTGAAAAAATTATCTGTTTTTTTAGAACATTTTGAAAAAATTTTCAAAAAATTCTCTTTGAAATATTTATCTTGTTATGAAAAATTCAAGTTCTCTTTCAAAACATAAATAGTAATACTCGTATATGAAATTGTGACCTTTAAATACATACATATATCACCTATAGCGCTAATTTAAAAAAACAAACTTGTTTTGATTTTATATTTATCTTCATTTCAACAACTTTTAATTTAATAAAAAAAAAATAACTCTAATTAAAAATTTGTTCTATAAAAGTAGAACGAATTTGCGTGGGAACTAATTTAAATTAAACAAATGCTGTTTAATAAATGCTAAAGAATTCAGTGATAAATTATTAACTCAATAAATATTTAAGTAAAACAAATTAGCATTTCTTTTAAACATTTCTCAAAAAATGTCGTTATATTTTGAAATCACTGCAATTATTGTTAAAACTAAATATATTTCAAATTAATCTTGAAAACTTTCAATTTTAAACACAATTCTGCACAATTAATATTAAATAATTATTAATATCTTCTTGATCTTTTACATGATTTACACATTATATCTAAATATAGTAAAATAATTTCATAAAATAAATATTTCAACATTAATGTGATCTTCTGTTTTTTTTATTAGTTTCAATTGCCTTTAAAAGGTTAGCGCGGCTTTAAATTGCAATTTGTTTTTTTATATTTTTTTTGATAATAAAACCTTTTAAATCTTCATTCCTTTAACAGACACACAGTTGAGCTTTTAAAAAAATTCAGTCTGTCAATTTAATGATGATGACGTGACACCCACACTTTTTTTATTTTTAAACAGCAAACTTTTTTCTTTATTGTTTAACGAAAAAAGTTCTCATTATACAATTTCAAGTCTATTGTTTCATTCTATTGGATATGTATGACAAACAGAAAACAATATTCTGACCAAATATTTGTTTTTTATTGCAGTCACAAACCTCTGAGCGCTACAGTAAGTCGAACGGTACTATATGACAAGATGTTTAAAATTTAATGATCGATTACAATATAAGATAATATTATATCAAAATTCAGAAAGCTCTTTCAAAACATATAGGACTTCTTCATTCCAGTTGCTTCGAAAGTTTGTTTTCACTTTAAATTACACTTAAGGATCATAAATCTGAACTATAACCTATATAAAAAAATATAAATCTTATATCTTGTCAAATAAATTCCCACGCCATTTCCCAAAATCTTATTTGTCATACACAAGTAATCTTATGATTGGACATTTCTAAATAATTTCTTACTTCCATATTTTTTGTTGGTAAATGATCATCACAAAACCTAATAATCTTCATACAATACACTATCAGTTTCATGTAACTTAAAAATAATTATTTTTTAATGTTTATTATCTACAAATTGATGTCCTTATTATTTTTATACATTATTTTACAAACATACATACATTGCGGCTTTATTTTCTATTTTTGGGTTAATTGTTTGCTCACACAGTATAGACCCGAGATATTTGTTTATGTTATATAGTTATTAAGTTGATAATATCTTATTACTTTATTATTTTATAAAATGTAAGTGAATTTACATGTTGAAATGTGCATAACGTTTCTCTAATTAATGTCTACTTTTTTGTAGCAATAACTAGGATAATGAGGAAAGAGGAAATTGTGTTTAACCCATATCAAATTGAATTTATTATTAATTGAGGTTAATTTGAAATGAAATAAATCTAGAGCGCAAATACGTAGTAAATTTAAAATCACTACATAGACTATAGTTCATACTATAGACAAGACTTTAGTCTAGTCTATAGACTAGACTATAGTCCAGACTATAGACTAGACTATATTCCAGACTATATACTAGACTATAGTCCAGACTATAGACTAGACTATAGTCCAGACTATAGACTAGACTATAGTCCAGACTATAGACTAGACTATAGTCCAGACTATAGACTAGACTATAGTCCAGACTATAGACTAGACTATAGTCCGACTATAGACTAGACTATAGTCCAGACTATAGACTAGACTCTAGTCCAGACTATAGACTAGACTATAGTCCAGACTATAGACTAGACTATAGTCCAGACTATAGACTAGACTATAGTCCTTTACTATAGACTAGACTATAGTCCAGACTATAGACTAGACTATAGTCCTTACTATAGACTAGACTATAGTCCAGACTATAGACTAGACTATAGTCCAGACTATAGGACTAGACTATAGTCCAGACTATAGACTAGACTATAGTCCAGACTATAGACTAGACTATAGTCCCAGACTATAGACTAGACTATAGTCCAGACTATAGAATAGACTAGGACTATAGACTAGACTATAGTCCAGACTATAGACTAGACTATAGTCCAGACTATAGACTAGACTATAGTCCAGACTATAGACTAGACTATAGTCCAGGACTATAGACTAGACTATAGTCCAGACTATAGACTAGACTATAGTCCAGACTATAGACTAGACTATAGTCCAGACTATAGACTAGACTATAGTTCAGGACTATAGACTAGACTATAGTCCAGACCTATAGACTAGACTATCGTCCAGACTATAGACTAGACTATAGTCCAGACTATAGACTAGACTATAGTCCAGACTATAGACTAGACTATAGTCCAGACTATAGACTAGACTATAGTCCAGACTATAGACTAGACTATAGTCCAGACTATAGACTAGACTATAGTCCAGACTATAGACTAGACTATAGTCCAGACTATAGACTAGACTATAGTCCAGACTATAGACTAGACTATAGTCCAGACTATAGACTAGACTATAGTCCAGACTATAGACTAGACTATAGTCCAGACTATAGACTAGACTATAGTCCAGACTATAGACTAGACTATAGTCCAGACTATAGACTAGACTATAGTCCAGACTATAGACTAGACTATAGTCCAGACTATAGACTAGACTATAGTCCAGACTATAGACTAGACTATAGTTCAGACTATAGACTAGACTATAGTCCAGACTATAGACTAGACTATTGGCCAGACCATAGACAAGACTATAGTTCCAGACTATAGACTAGACTATAGTCCAGACTATAGACTAGACTATAGTCCAGACTATAGATTAGACTATAGTCCAGACTATAGACTAGACTATAGTCCAGACTATAGACTAGACTATAGTCCAGACTATAGACTAGACTATAGTCCAGACTATAGACTAGACTATAGTCCAGACTATAGACTAGACTATAGTCCAGACTATAGACTAGACTATAGTCCAGACTATAGACTAGACTATAGTCCAGACTATAGACTAGACTAGTCCAGACTAAGACTATAGTCCAGACTATAGACTAGACTATAGTCCAGACTATAGACTAGACTATAGTCCAGACTATAGACTAGACTATAGTCCAGACTATAGACTAGACTATAGTCTAGACTATAGACTAGACTATAGTCCAGACTATAGACTAGACTATTGGCCTGACCATAGACAAGACTATAGTTTAGACTATAGACTAGACTATAGTCCAGACTATAGACTAGACTATAGTCTGAACTATAGTCTAGTCAATACTCTGGACTATAATCTGGACTATAGTCTAGTCTATAGTCTGGACTATAGTCTAGTCTATAGTCTGGACTATAGTCTAGTCTATAGTCTGGACTATAGTCTAGTCTATAGTCTGGACTATAGTCTAGTCTATTGTCTGGACTATATGTAGTCTAGTCTATAGTCTGAACTATAGTCTTGTCTATAGTCTGGCCAATAGTCTGGTCTATAGTCTGGACTATAGTCTAGTCTATAGTCTGGACTATAGTCTAGTCTATAGTCTGGACTATAGTCTAGTCTATAGTCTGGACTATAGTCTAGTCTATAGTCTGGACTATAGTCTAGTCTATAGTCTGGACTATAGCCTAATCTATAGTCTGAACTATAGTCTTGTCTATAGTCTGAACTATAGTCTTGTCTATAGTCTGAACTATAGTCTTGTCTATAGTCTGGACTATAGTCTAGTCTATAGTCTGGACTATAGTCTAGTCTATAGTCTGGACTATAGTCTAGTCTATAGTCTGGACTATAGTCTAGTCTATAATCTGGACTATAGTCTAGTCTATAGTCTGAACTATAGTCTTGTCTATAGTCTGGCCAATAGTCTAGTCTATAGTCTGGACTATAGTCTAGTCTATAGTCTGGACTATAGTCTAGTCTATAGTCTGGACTATAGTCTAGTCTATAGTCTGGACTATAGTCTAGTCTATAGTCTGGACTATAGTCTAGTCTATAGTCTGGACTATAGTCTAGTCTATAGTCTGGACTATAGTCTAGTCTATAGTAAGGACTATAGTCTAGTCGATACTCTGGACTTTAGTTTAGTCTATAGTCTGGACTATAGTCTAGTCGATACTCTGGACTTTAGACTAGTTTATAGTTTAGACCACATTCAAATCTATATCTGGACTACATTCTAGTCTATAGTCTAGTCTATAGTATAAACTATATATAATCCAGTCTATAGTATGAACTATATTCTAATCTATAGTCTGAACTATAACCTGGACCATATTTTATTATATTCTCTACTCTATAGTCTACAGTATAATCCTGTCTATAGTCTGGTCTATAACGAGGTCTATAGTATGATTTATGGTGTGATTCAAAGTCTGAACTATAGCAGTTTAATTGTTCATTAGTCTTTTGTAAGCGGAAAAGCAATTAAAATATCACACAGTTATGATTTTCAATCGTTATGAGTTTTTTTGCTGTAATTTGTATATTTTCATATTGATTGAATAACACTTGTTTAATACAAATTTCACTTTCTACATTAATAAACTGTAACCGATTCCAATAAATCTTACATACACTGTAATTGTAACAAAGGGGTATTAGTTGAAATCTGTTAAAAAAGAGAAGAAAAAGAAAGTAAAAACATGTCAAATTAAATTGGTAAGAAAAAAATTCAAACAAACAATAAAATATAATAAAAAATTGTCAACAATTTTCAACAACAATTGTGTATAAAAATCGCATGTTGCAAACAAAAGATTTTCATTTTCTTTCTTATTTTGTGGAGTACAAACAAAATCAAATCAATTACAAAATCATCAAACGACATCTTTTAAAGTTATAGAAAGGGAAAATGTAAATAAAACAATTGATAGACAAAAGGGTTTTATATTTATAAACATTAAGTAACTTTTCGGCAATAGTACTTACACTACAATGTAGACGAGTTCGATGAAATAAGAAAAGAAAAATTGTTTGCCAAAAACAATTTCTATTACGGGTACATATTTGTTTTGTTGGATTCGACTAACAAATAATAATCACCATGATTATTGTTAACATAAGTTCAATTGAAATTATGGGAATTTCATTTTATAGGTAATACACGTACAAGTCTTATACATAGTTGTTTAAATTTGGCAGAAATAACTATTTTTCATTGGTCTATGTTTATTCACATTGTTCAAATAATTGCTGAAATAAATGTGAATAGAAAGAAATCGATATTTACATTTACAAAATATTACAAAATATTTAGTTGATCTAACAAATTTTCTTTAGAAACTTTAGTTAGATCAACCAAATATTTCTTACTTTATTGAAATACATATTATGTGAACGCAAAAAGAAAAAATCTGGTTAATATAAGCCATTATTTGATAGAATATAATTAATACTTAAAATTTAAATAGATTCCTTAATTTCTATTGTTTTTAACACTAAAACTTGCACATAATTCGAGTCATAATTTAATTCTCATTATCTTAATATTAAACTATTAGATAACACGCTTTTTAACACATTTCAATATACGAACGTTTATAGTTATTCTTTTAATTTTCCCTTTGTTTTTGCATATAAAGAATCTCATTAAAAGTTTAAAATTTGTTTACAAAGTGTTGTAGTATAATTTTTTTCTTTAGACTTTAAGAGTAACAATGCTAAGAAAGGAAAATTAGATTTTCTTTTTATTTCTCTTCTATTCATACAAATAGATACGTATGAGTATCTATGAATATGATAATATTTAATTTGTAGAGGTGGTATTTCAAGTTGTTCGCGTGCCTTTTACCATAAAAAGCAAAAAAAAAAAACTACATAGAAAATATAACAACGAGACCCTTCATTTAGTAGAAAGTGACATTGGGTGGGAATTTCTTTGTTGTTAGCTTTTGATGAAAATTAAAAAAAAAACAAAAAAAAAAAAACTTATTCTATAATTACCATACATACGTCGCAAGTTTGCATGTGTACTTGAATAGAGAGGACCATTCTAAGGCCCCTTAAGAGAGGAAATTATAGATTAAAGCGTAAGGTCTTTAGTCTATAGTTTAGCCTATATTCTAGTCCATAGTCTAAACCAACGGTTCCCAAAAGGGGGTCCGCGGACCCCTAGTGGTCCGTAGCAAAATCCTAGGGGGTCCGCGAAGACGAACGAAAATGAATAAAAAATATTCTCTATATGTTACAAAATATTAAAAATATCTCCAAATTTTTCATAAATACTAAAATACACAATTTTTATTCAATAATCCCAGATTTGTTGGTGACTCTTTGAATTTTATTGTTTCGGTCGTTTATCAGGATGAAGCTAGGCGCTACAAATTTATTGTTTCACTTTTATAAAGTAAAGTATTACGTGATTTGTAATTTTTATAAATATATATGTATCGAAATAAATGTTTTTATAGCAGACAGATAATGATTTGCCTTAGAATTAAATACTGATACTGGTATCCCGGAATATGAAGTTAGGTCACATTTCATAATATTTTTTTAAATTGTAAGCAAAAGTGTTAATCTAGTTAATTTTAAATATAAATATTCCATTCCAACGTGATACACAGATTTTAACTTCATTTTGTTGTCCAATATTATTAAATCATCATCAGAAAATTCATAGCGTTTTGCGTAAATAATCAAAACCACGCAGTAAAATAATTCGTAGGTATTTTAAAATTCAAATTTAAGATCCAAATTCACAGTACATTCGCAAAGAGTTCAGGTCGTATTTTATGTGGGTAACGCATTCCGCAACAACATCGAAGAAGTCTAACTTTCACATATTTTCCCGAAAACTTAGCTTACATACTCAGCTCACTCCTATGCAATCGCAAAAAAATTTAGAAACATGACTCTTTAAGCACATGTCGACAATACTTGTTAAAGAAACCTTTTCTCTACCTTGACGAGAAATGAACATGAAAGCTCTCACGATCATAAAATTAAACATCATGGTAGAAGTCATTCTATATTTAAAACCATGAAATTGAAAACATCTCCGAAATACTAAATGTTCTCAATGTACGGGAATATTTTATAGGGTTTATGGACCAGGACTAAGACAATTTTCGGACGAACAATTACACAGTGATACAGCAAAAAAATGCAGGGGTTCTCATATACCAATTCCATTTCGTTATAGTCCATAGAGTAGGAATTTATTTTTAATTTTTCCCGATCACTTCGTTTAGTTCCTTTTTAAGAGCAAAAGTTGTGAAAAAGAGCTATTTTTGAAGTTTTAACTTTAAAAAAATATATGTTTGGTAGTTTGCAACCGATTTTCAAACTGGATATTTTGTTTTAAAGATACAAGTGTTGTCTTTCAACTCAAAAAAATAAATCCAAAATTTATGATTAATGTCTTGGTTACGGCCTTTTAAGTAAAAAAACTCACACTTTTTTCACAATTTTTATACCCACCATCAAAAAAGATGGGGGGTATATTGATTTTGTCATTCCGTTTGTAACACATCGAAATATTGGCCATAGACCCATAAAAGTATATATATTCCGGGTCCTTATTAAATTCTAAGACGATCTAGCCATGTCCGTCTGTCTGTTGAAATCACGATAGGGACCACACGAGAGGAGCTAGACAGTTGAAATTTTGCATAAATATTCTCTATTGCTAAGGTTTGTTTGGTATTGAAAATAGGCAATATCGGTCCAATTTTTCGGATAGCCCCCATACAAGTGGACTTCCAAGAAACAGCTTTAACGGACATAACTGCTTCAGAAGTACGAGTATGAAATTCGACATAAATAAGTTTCATATGAGCCAAAACCTTTTAACCAATTTTTTTTTGGATCGGCCCATAAACGACCCTACCCCCCATATAAGGTCCCCTTCAGAAAATGACGTTAACACTCATTACTGGCCCAAAAATGCGAGTATAGTGTTGAAATTCGGTATAAATAAGTTTTTAACGAACTAAAACCTCTCTACATTTCTATTTTAGGATCGGCCCATAAATGACCCTACCCCCATATACGGTCCCCTTCTGAAAATGACTCTAACACTCATTACTGGTCCCAAAATGCAAGTATAGCAATGAAATTCTACATAAATAATTTTCATGTGAGCCAAAATCTTTCTACCAAATTTTTTGAGGATCGGTCCATAATTGACCCTACCCCCATATAAGGTCCCCTTCAGAAAATGACTTTAACACTCATTACTGGTCCAAAAATGCGAGTATAGCGATGAAATTCGGTATAAGTAAGTTTCTTACGAACCAAAATCGCTCTACGATTTTTTTTAAGATCGTCCCATAAATGACCCTATCCTCCATCTGAAAATGACTTTAACGCTCATTACTGGCTAAAAATTACGAATATAGCAATAACATTTTACACAATTAAGTTCCTCGCGAGCCAAAATCTTTTTAATAACTTTTATGTGGATAGGTCCATAATTGGCCCTACTCCCCCTATTGGGTCCACTTCAGGAAATAGCTTCAACGCTCATTACTGTCTTAAAAATATGAGTGAAGCGATGAAGTGCTACACACTTAAGTTTCTTACGAGCCAAAACCTCTGTACCAATTTTTTTTTTTTTTTGGATCGGCCAATAAATGACCCTTCCCGCATATAAGGACCCCCTCTGCAAATAACTATAATGCTCATTACTGGCTTAAAAATATGACTGTAGTGACGAAAATTGATGCACATAAGTTTAATGCGCAAGTCCACCAAATTTAGGGAGGATCGGTCCATAATTTACCCTACCGCCCTTCAGAAAACACTTAAACGATCATTACTGGCTTAAAAATATGAGTTATGAAATACGGTTATGAAATTCGCTCCGAATTTCATGTGGAATGTGTCGGTAATTCACTCTACCCCCCATACAAGCCCCCTTTATAAAATTACATTAACGTTAATTACTGGCATAAAAATTCGAGTAGGGCGATGATATTTAATGTAAACAAGTTTTATATGAATCAAAATCGGTCTACAAAAAAAGTTATGAGGATAGGTCAACAATTGACCATACCCCATATGAGTTCCTCTTTAGAAAATTTTATGAAGAAAATTCAGATAATTGGAAGTACAGCGATTAAAATCGACATAAAAAAAGTTTATACTTAGGAACATAATTCTTCATTCCGAATTTAATGAGGACTCATTTAAAACTGACCCTAGCCCCTATAAAAGGTTCCCTTCAGGAAAGAGTTTTGGTTATTGAAATACGAGTTTTCCTTATTTAAAATAAGAGTATAGCGCTGAAATTTTGCATAAACAAGTTCTATACAAACGAAATCTATGAACAAAATTTTATGAGTATCGGTTCATAATTAACGCATATAAAGGTCCTCTTCAGAAAATTACTCATACGTGAGCGTAAAAATTTAAATAAAATATTTGGTTTTTAAAAATTAATATTTTGTTAGTTCAAAAGAGCTCGGTCCATAATTGACTTAAGCCATATTCCAAATATCACCCTGATGTTTATAGGGGAGCATTCCTTTTATGGCATACAGTTTGATGGTGGGTATATGAGATTCGGCACAGCCGAATATAACACTCTTACTTGTTAATTTTCATACTGCTCTACGTTGGCCATGAAGCAGTAACTTTAGCTTTTATTACATTTGAAAAAAGGCA